ATGAAGAGAGTGGGATTCGAACCCACGCGGGTTGCCCCATCAGGAAACGTGGTGTCAAGACTGAAGCCTTAACCTGACGCCATAACCAACTCGGCCATCTCTCCGAATAATGGTTTGATACAACTGACTGCGTAACAGGACAATTGTTGAGAGAAATATTTGCAAAGGAATATATAAACTTAAATTCTTTCTCGCTTGCTTACGTGAGTGCAAATGCCAAGGTGGTGTCGGCGTCAAAGGGCTTCTTTCCATACCTTGGCATTTTGTTGACCAGGCTCCACTTTCGGTCCTTATCGGTCGCCTTGTCACAATCCACGATGTCTTGTTTTCCTTCTAGACAGAACAACACCTCCAATCTGGCATTGATGCGTTGTCGACCGGCGTATAAACCTTCCAATGCTACTCGAAGCTCATCTAAGGGTGGTCCCTGTGTGATCATTAACAGTATGGAGCCGTAATCACCACGATGGTGGTCGGAGAGTCAAGCCCACCATCAAACGCACTGGCAACCAAAGGTACGAAAGGACTTGGAGGCATTGGAGCTTTATCTCAGCCTAACCTCATCAGACTGTCGTGTGTGCAACAGAAGGCGAATACATTGCGACCGTACCCTGCCATTCTGCACGAAATGTGCACGAAAAGGCGTTGAATGCCCTGGCTACGGACCAAGATTCCGTTGGACGAATGCCATTGCTGTCCGTGGTCGTTTCAAAGGCCGTGGCGCGCCTGATGTACAGAATACTCAGTCTCTGAACTTGGATCCTCAACCTCTACAGAGAGTCAATGATGAAACAATCTGTACCCCAAACTATCAGTTCGGTCTTGCCTTGGCTCAGCAGCTGCCACCATCCACAGCACAACGTCTCCTTGAATACTATGCCGCCAGTATTGCACCACTGATGGTCTGGCTTGATTCGGACAAGAATGAGTATAAGCGTTTGGTCATTCCTCTGGCAGAGAAGGATGTGATCCTCCGTCTGGCAGTTCTTACCATCTCCGCAGAACACATACAAGATGAAGACTCCCTCCCACCTGGATTCTCCCAGTCCACGGGCGAAGCTGCGATTCTCATGATCACCGAACGAGTTCGTCAGATGACGGAACACAATATGGTCGATCCACAGATCGACGTCAACGGAGGAGTCACTGCTAACGTTCTGGCCGCCATGCTCATCCTCTCAAACCATTCGCTGGTGAAGTCTGAATTATCTCATGCACAATTTCACAGGCAAGCCGCACGGATTCTGATGAACTCACTGGCATTGAAACGACCTCCTGATGATGACCTCACCATCTTTCTGAAAAACCAGTTGGCCATTTACGATGTCCTGTGCTGCACAACATTGTTCAACTACGAGCACGTTCAGCACGCTATTTTGCCCCATCTATCACAACCAGACGTCCCTTTTGGTGATTTCCTCAAGATCTTACACCAAATCACCTTAACGTCTTTCAGTAGTGCCAAGCATGGGAGACAGATGGAAAATCTTGAAGCGGAATTCAAGCTTGCAAGCGGCTCGACTTTGCTGGCTGCAGGGACGCTCACACAGACGCTGACCGCATTGCACAGAAGGGGCTTTATTCGACTCGTCCAAGCATACCACCATGCTGGAATCCTCTACGCTTTGACTCGTCTGAGTACATCCTCTGAGAATGACGAGGAACGACAGATGGTACTGCACGCGGATGAGCTTTTCAAAGTGCTAGACCAGTTTGAGGACATGAACGAAGTCTTGCATAACTTGGCATGGCCTCTGTTCATTGCTGGAACCTCTTGCCGGGGCGACAAAGACCGCATGGGGTTCATTAGTGGGCTTTGCCAGAGGTTATCGGCGAACACGCGATTTGAACACTATACCAACATCTCAATCTTTCTGCAGGAGCTCTGGCAAAGTTCGAATTCTGACTGGACACTCCTTGCTCGTCAATGGGAACAGAAAGGCACTCCTATCATAGCCGTCTGACCCAATATGCTGGTTTTTCCTGCGTCTTGTGTCAACGAACGGAAAGCAATTTGTTCACGGCGCCTTGAGGAATTGCTGGTTCGATCAATCATGATCAACTGATTTGGGCTGAAGAACTCCGCCAACAATCTACAACTATTGGCTCTATTTGAGGTACTCACGGATCACGTCTTCTGGCGGATCCTTGTGCAAGAAATTTGGGACTCTCTCAAACATTTCCCACGCACTGCGCCGCAGAAATTCCGTTTGGTCTTTGATCCATTGTTCAACCTCGTCCCGCTGAATCATTTCTCCCGTCTTCTCCTTCTCGGCCAGGCCCGCCAAAACCAGATCGATCCGACCTCGGAGACGGGTGAGCTTGTCCTTGAGGAACAGGTTGATCATTAGGGCCATGTCGTCGTTTGCAGGGTCGACGCTCCGCAGGGAAGAGTACCGGTCGTCCATATTGGGATCCGCATACGTGTAGCTGGTCACCATGCTGATTCGTTCGGGGACATTGGTCGCTCGCAGGGCCGCGTGCTCGGTGCACCCGCCTTGCATGATGACAGCTCCGCCGATGGTTGGGCTTTTGACTCTGACGATGGACCCGTCGCCGGTCTTGATGGCTGTCTCGCCGCCCTGCATGGCGCTCGTGTCGCTCAGCATGACCACACACACGACCGGGACCTGGTCTTTGTGCCACGAGTCGATCGGGACGTTGTCGTACACGGACTTTTCCAATTCCAGGGGCGATTGTGGTGGCAGGGGCGTCTCCGTGAGCTTGTAGACGCCAGCCAACCCTTCGGGGCCGAGTTGGATGTTGAGCATGCCGATGTCGCCCGTCTTGTAGAGTCGACGGAGCGGGAACCCAGCGGCTCTGTCGATGGCAGCCTGAGTGGCTGGATGTTGCCATGCCTGAAGCATGAACTTTGCCGACTATCGCTCTCAGAATCAGCCTCAAACCCGTTTCTCAATAACTCCATCTCTCCCGTTTCGCGCTCGCTAGAAACAGAGAATCAAAAACCAACCTTTTCATGACCGGCCACATACGCCGGAGCTCGCTCCCACGACTTGAGGTACTTGTCCAAGATCGGCTTACTGAGCATCTCCCGTCGCAGGATGCGCACCCCTTCGGCGGAAAACAGGGGGAACGGGTCCGTGTAGCACAGATCGGGGACATTGTGCGGCGGCTTGGGGAGGCCGACTTCGCCAAACGTGTGGCGTTGGGCGGGTGGTTGGAACGCGAGGTGGATTGCCGGGTCGAAGTCGGGCAGGTCGAGGTCATCGAGGTCATTGAGAAGTGTTGCTGGGTCTGCCGCCGCCGTCGTGGGGATGGCAGTCAGGGGAGTTGCGATGTCGGCTGCCATTTTGGGTAGTCACTGAGATGAGGACTTAGTTGTATGGGCTTCCCTTGTTGGTATGGGATGAGCAAGTGGTGTTGTCTGAAGGGCATGCTACATTCTTTATCTATGACCGGTTTGTCCTGGACCTTGAGGTAGTAGTACATACACTTCTCCGTGTCAGGCATCACCGAAAGCCTAGACTAGACTCTGGAGAGAGGGATCTACAGATAGCGGTACGTTATCTATCCCAATCAGGTATATTCATGGAGAACCTGATTATCGTTGTTGTACACCAGTTCCGTACGAGACAGGCAGATCCTCCCAGTTCCAATTCTGCAAATGCTTCCCAGCGCCTCGGTGTCGAACTGTACCGACTACACTGTTCCATTTGCGGTAAATATATGCATCGTGGCATTCTTGGCTCTTGACTGGGTGCTTCTAACAGCCTTGCCGCTTGGCCACTGATAAGAAACCCCGAGACTAAGTTAATGGTTTGTTATCTACCACTCTTATTAAACCTCGAATTCGATCGAACTAGGAGGTAAGAAGGAGGAGACGGAGAAAAGAGAGTTTGGTCACCATGCCTGAATGTAGTTAGCAATGCGAGCAGAGCGACATATTGCCCCCCTCCCCCCCTAAGCTCTCCACGCTTGCGCTCTCCGGAACTTCGACACCTCGGGTTAGACGCCGTTCGATGATCCAATGATGCGAGGATATCAAGGAGACGGCACACTTCGCACGTCCTTGTAAGGCATGTACGGGTCCGGGCATGGCACATGGAAAAGGAGAAAGCGCGGGGTGAGGGTGAGGATCAGATTGGCTGCGCAGAGCGGATCACTCCACGATCTCCCTTTTGATACTCGAACGGGTATCGTGCGTCTGGTGGAGGAGGACGATTCCTATCAAGATTGTACGAACAGCCCATCAACGACCAAAGGGGGAATATTTGGGAGGTGCCAGCGCCGTCCCTGGATCTGAGGGTTCAAGGGGAATAAGATCGCCCCGCCACCCAACCAGCCTTGGTCTTTGGCTGGCAAAAGACTTGTCGGATCTTAGACGAAAGCTTTGGTGAAACGATGCGAGGAGTTCGATAGATCGCATGCTGTGGGAATACTGCACATGTGCGCGCCACCGACTGAGGTTTTGGGAAATGGGATGCTCACTGCTAGGTATGGTAGGTAAGGGAGAGAACATCGGTTGTGTCTCTTCTGATAGTGGTGGCAGGTCCCTGGTATCCGCATATGTGACATTGTATGCAACGAGACTGGTGTATCTTCCTGGTGTTATTGTCTGAACTTCAATCCACACCCTCTTTACCATTGCTTTCTCACTGCGTACAACAAGGACACCGCATTCGTGGTTCTTGAACGTCCGATAGGGTAACATGACCACGATATCGTCCTTCAGATCTATCTGTTCGACAGCATTGTCCTGTCCGCCATGACCTGTCAGCCAGAAGATACCATACCAAACCCAGGGCCAGCCATTCTCCAGTACATACCTTACCGAAGGCGCGATGGAAAGGCAGAATGAGCCGTTGTTAATCACTCCTAAGTCGCCTCGTATGGATATGCCTGTGCTCGCGTCGACATGCGAGAGGCAGTGGTGGCTTGAAGGCGGTCATCCTCTCTGCTCAACCGATGACCGCTATGCAGACAACGGGAATCACATGGGCGGCTGTCTCCTGGTCGACGACTTCGACTAGTGCGCCACGATGTTCAGCATCGCCTCGACACCTCCTGATCCGGACCTGGTCGGCGACAAGTGGCGGGACCCGTGGATGAGTCGTCTGGAAGCCGGCTGGAACTGGATGGTCGAATGGCATGAGCACCAGCGACGCGACGAGATCCGCAAACACGCTTCAGTCCGCGAAGACTACTCCGCCATACAACGCCCCGTCTACCTCGTCGGTGCGTGGTCGTGCGAGTGCTCGAACGTGGTGTTCCGCATGTTACAACGCCTCGAATATCCCGTGCAATGGCTTGACGGGACCATCGGCCCATGAGCATCCCAACTTCGCCACATCTGGTCCGCAGATCGGCTTGTTGCAAGATTACCTCCAGTGGTGGGATAAGTGGTTGAATGGCAAGGACACGGTAATCAATCATGGACGAGGCGACACTCTGCTGTTACTCGCAGAACACTGTGCCTATTCGTAGGCAGTATGACTCAAATTCGTCCTAGCCGTTTGGTGACCGAGAAGAGCTGGCTGGGCTGGTGGACTGCCGTTATCATGACTCGCACTATGGGATTCTCGGCTGGACGGCGAAATGCTCGGCTGACGGCGAAATCTTCATCTCTCAATCTCGGATGAGCACCTTTCAATATGCTCTCGCATGATAGTTGGCTTCGCGGCCGGTCTGTGGTGTCCTGATCTCGACCTCGACCTGCCTGGGTGGCAGGTTACTCATTGCAAGTTTGCCCAGAGGCCAACACCTTGACTTGCTCAGCGCCCCGGCAATTCAACGGCCTCGTAGAGAGGAAAAAGGGAGTATATTAATGTACTGTGGCTGTGCAGACCGTGTAAATGGTCTAGATGATTGATAGATCGTGGCGCTGCAGTATCCGACATCTACATGGCATTTATTTTGTCGCAATTTCGATGTCTTTCTGTCCTTCTCTTGCCACGTGTTTGTGGAGGTCGGTCGGCAGTGACACGGCGATTCGACGCGACCAAGATCATTTTCAGCCGTAGATATCATCCTAGCCAAGCATGCCCAGTCTCATCATGGGCAGGAATGTGATGTTCAGACTGCACAGATTGCTAGGGCCCAGGGTCGTTCTCCATACCTGGCTGGACCTGGACAACAGTTCGCTCTGGCAACGGACTTGAAGCCGACTTGTCTGCGGCATCATGATTGTCGTTGGGGATTGAGTGGAAACGCTGTGTGTATCTCCAAAATCCACTCGTGCCCCTGTGCGCCGCGCATTGTCCGCTGAATCGCCGGCAGTACGGTTCAGTGTCGGTGCAATCATAGCCAATGTTTTCGTGAGGCGATTCTCCGTTCTCCCCATCTTGTCCCCACTATCTCAACTGCCTCATACGGAACGAAGTATTCCTCCCGCGCATATGTCGGGCTTTTTACAATGTTCGTGGTCTCAGCCGCCTAAAAGGCGGGACTGGGGCGTGTCCGGGCACCTTGGGTGGTGGGTGTCATACCACGATACTGTCTCATTTCATTAGCTAAGCGGCAGCCGTTGATCCTGACTTTGAAAATCCTACAACGTGGGATCAAGAGACAAGGCCGCGGACATAAAAAGGTCAGGCGGCATTGCTTGAGCATCTGAATCGCTCGGTGATTGAACCTGCAGATATCCTAACGAGCTTCGATATGTCGCCGTCTCGTCTCGAAGAACCACTCCCCAACGCGCCGGCGGGAGGCTTTCCCAAGCACCTGGCCGAGGACTCGAGGGCGGCCAAGGTCGACGCATTTGACGCGAGCAGTGCCACCGTTGACGACGTCGTCGAGTCGCTCATCCGCACCGGAGGCTGTATCGTGCGCAACCTCGTCAGCCGGGACGACATCAAGAACATCGATGCCGACGTGCGTCCGTACATCCTCAAAGATCAACCATGGCAGGGCGACTTCTTCCCGCCCGAGACGCGCCGGGTGACGGGCCTGGTGGAAAAGTCGCCCACGTTCACGCGCAAGGTACTCGGCAATGAGCTGTATCAAGAGGTCTGCAATCGACTCATCTCATCAACACACGATGCCTGGCTGGGTCAAAAACTTGAGCGGTCGGTCGCGCCACCGCAGGTCAACAACACCATCGTCTTCTCTATCGCACCCGGTGCTAAGCGCCAGGAGCTACACCGCGATGACATGAACTACCACAACGAGCTACCGGCGCTCGCCTCGCATACCGACTACACGATCGGCCGCGATTGTGCCGTGGGACTGTTTGTCGCCGGTAAGAAGACGACCAGGGCCAATGGCGCTACACGCTTCATCCCGCGCAGTCACCTCTGGGCTAAGACGCAGCCGCCTAATGAGGATCTCTGTTACTATGCCGAGCTAGAGCCCGGTGATGCCTTCATAATGCTGGCGTCCGCCTATCATGGAGGGAGCGCCAACACCACCACCGACGAAGAACGGCTTGTGTTCAGTTGTTTCATGATCAAGGGCATCCTGCGGCAGGAGGAGAACCAGTTCCTGGCAAACTCGCTCGACAGCGTCAGGCAGTATGACGCCCGGCTGCAGAAGATCATTGGCTATTCCGTGTCGATGCCCTGGCTTGGATGGGTTGACTTTGACGACCCGCGAAACTTGTTGTTGAACGGCGGCCAGGCCAAGGAGAAGATTGATCATTATGGAAGTTGATAGTGTCACTTTTCATATCCCATAAACTATCGAATTTGATTTCGCGTTCGTGGTGGAGCCAGCTGAAGTATATTGTAGACATATCCCTATTCAGCCGCCATGTATCCCGATTTATCCACGTGTTGATAGATGTGTCTTCAGCCTTGCAGGACAATCCGGGTCTTCGTGCCTTCCAGCCTCGCATCGCACGTAGCTAAGCGTCGGGCTCTCGTCGATAAGGCTTCGGCGGCGTCACGGCGTTTCGACGGCCAAGTTATCGTGTGGAACACCGATATTAAATCGGTCGGACGGGTGTGGCGTAGACGGCGGGCTTGTCCTAATGGTACTGGAAGCGATGTTCTAGCGGAGGATGGCCGACCAAAGTTCAAGCGCTCAGGATTGTGGAACCTGAAGAGGGTCCCTGGCGGGAATCGGAAGCTGTTTGTCGAAGATTATCGAAGATTAGAGCCATGTGAAGACTATTCCACTTGGAGATGCTATAAGGAACCCGAGATGATACCACCTTCCCGACCGTTGTTTGATTTTCGTCCACATCCAGAGTTGCAGGGTTGATTGCTGTTGCTCGATTCAAGTCGATCTAGTTTGCCGCGTAAAGTACAATCAGGCATGTCGTTTTCAGGCTTTCCTATACACACCTCCCTTCACTGACATGACATACAGGAGACCACACAAACAACACAACTCGAGAAGCTTTAAACGCGTTCAGCATGAGCTTCCATCAATACGACGGACCTGCAGGCGAGTTCGCCCAGAACCACGGCTTCTCCCAGGCTGTTGTACTGCCTGCGTCGGCCAAGATCGTCATCACGGCCGGTCAGGCAGGGTGCGACCTGAAGACAGGCAAGGTGGTGACAACGTCTGCGGAGGCCCAGATCTCGGCGGCGTTCGACTGCGTCGAGGCGGCGTTGAAAAAGGCCGGCGTCGAAAAGGGCCTGCTGGGTGTGCACAAGTTCCTGACATTCATGCTCGACACCGACCTTGAACCCGTCATGATGAAGATCTGGCGCGAGCGGTGCCCTGGTCACCGGCCAACCTGGACGTGTGTCGGCTCGTCGAAGCTGTGCTTTCCTGAAATGATTGTCGAGATTCAGGCCGAGGCGACATTGTGAGCAGAGAGGGAGAGGAGGAATTGGCGAGGGAGGGTGCAAGAGGAAATAGCTGGAGGCTACAAATAGAGGGACGAGAGATGGAATTCGAAGTCCTCGAGAAACCCGCGTCGCACGCCAAGGACGCGAAGTCATGTGACACTACCACTGTGCTGCTCGCACCAAGAACCCCCGCCTACCCAATAGAGACTTGGGCGCTCGGTAATCCATTGGGTGCCACTGGGCGTCTCCCTTAGCCACCACTAGTTATTAGCTTCACCCCCAAATACCAACCCGATACAACCCCAATGCCCCCATTAAGACCTACTACGAAGCACTTTTGCCTCACTTCTCTTTTCCCCAATGCACTATACTGAAACGTACGAGGGATGTAATCGAGATAATCTACCAGCCTGAAATCCATGGCATCGCTTGCTCCTCCCTGACAATCGCTTAATGACCACTCCGCAGCGGTCCGGCCGGACAGGTATTTGTGCGCTTGTTGCCTCATGGAAGATTGACTCATTGCGATCCAGGTTCCAAGTCCGCCGCGGCGGCATGTACGAGCTGCCATCTCCGCAAGGTGAGATGTGACCTGTCCACACGAGGCCACCCGTGTACGCGGTGTGAAGATTCCGGTCTGTCCTGCGACCGACTCCAACGTCGAAGACGGCCTATTCGTGCTGTAGAAGCAGCCACGTTGGGCGCGCCGAGGTATGCAACTGGCGCTGGCCGCCTGCTGATATTGAGCGATGTTGGAACTGACGGGACCGCCAGCGCCACAAACCCGTCGAGTCCTGCGGATGTGGTCGAACAGGTCGACCGCATTACAGTCCCCTCGGCGCTGGACGAGATCCGAGCACGGTTTGGCAGTTTGGGGGAAGGAGATAGCCCACGAAGGATCGAGGTGTCTCCCGGCGGGTTTGGCGACATTTCCAAGGAGACCTCGATCCTGGTAGACTTTGTTGCCCAAGATTTCTCGCTCGGTGCCATCAGCGACTACCAGGTCACGTTCAACGACAACTACACGACGGTCGCAAGGCTGCTGGCCAACGAATTCGGCCGCGGCTTCCAGACTGACGTCTACCACTATCGCGATGCCCCCTTTTTCAAACGCGCCCACGGGGGAATTCCCCGAAGCATGGGCTTGTCCGAACTCGCCGTCCTCGACCTGTACGGCTCATTTACCCTCCCCAGCCCTGAGGTGGCCGACAGCTTCATTGCGGCCTTTTTCGACCGCGTCCACGCCACGCTGCCCATCCTCGACAGGTCCGCCTTTCTCAAAGGATACTCGGCCGCGCCGAAGCCGTCCAATGTTTCTCTTCTCCTGCTACACAGCGTCTTACTCTCCGGATCAACTACATTCGAGCATCCCAATCTCAAACTTCCTCACGGTGAGGTGTCCTGGAGACTGTACGGCCGGGCCAAAGCCTTGGTCGAGAACAGATTTGAACAAGACCGTCTGGTGCTGGTCCAGTCTCACCTCCTCTTTAGCACGTTTGTCTCGGACAGCTGTGACGACACGCTGCAAAACATGTGGCTGTGTCTCGGCACTGCCGTGAGGATAGCACAGGTAAGGCGGTTCCGGTCGTTCACGAGGGTGATCCGTGTTAACTCTCCTCCACAGGGCCTAGGGATGCACCGTGCATTGGGCAAAGCCAACGCAAGCGAACCGATGCGAAGACAGTGGAAGCGTATCTGGTGGTCGCTTTTTGTCCACGATGTAGGTGCTGATCCGCGATCATGACCATATGTGCTGACAATATAGACGTTGTGTTCTTTCGAGTGGGGTCGTCCAAGAGCCATGTGAGAGATTGCGGCCCTTGTCCCTTTGAGGGTTCTTGTCTAATCTTTCTGCAGAAACCTCGCTGATTGCGACGTCGAATACCTGACAGAGGCCGACTTTCAGCCCGAATATCCCGGCTCGCTACCGTCGGCCGAACACACGCGGTTCTTTTTGGAATTAGTCAATCTCTGTCTCATAATATCTAGCTGGTTGGATCTCCTTCGGCCCTGCCGATACCGTGATCACCAGGGCGGTGGACGAGGCAACAATCTCGATCGCAACTCTCGAGCCCTGGCGCTCCTCACCGAGCTGCAACAGTGGCACAAGGGCATACCGACGACTCTACAACCACCTCGAAGCTCTGCTGGTGGTGGCGGCGGGGGCGGGGGCGCCTTGGGCACGGGATTTACTTTGTGGACAGCCACTTTGCATATTACCTACCAAGCGGCGTTGCTGCGGTTCTGCACATTGCTTCCCGAGGGGACTGACACCATGTTCCGCGCGGCCGCAGACATCTCACATGTCTGTGAAGATCTCGACCGGCAGGACCTGCTGGGGTCGCTGTGGAACTTTGGCATCCACGAATTCGACCTGGCCATGGTGCTCCACGCGCGTCAGGCCAACAGTTCCGATCCGGCCACCTCGCGTACCGGCGTGCGCAACCTGCAGCGCGGTCTTCCGTGGGCTCGCAAGCTGGGGAGCCGTTCGTCCGTGGCCCAGCAGGCTCAAATGTTTTACGAGGACTTGGTCAAGAAGATGAATAAGCGTTCTCGGACAGGAAGACGTCCGGCATCGGCAACTGCGACAACAACGATAAGACACGACGATGGTGTGGACGGCTCAGATCACGGCCAAAGGCCCTCGATGCCGACCCCTACTGGTCGCACCGCCGTAGCCGCCGCCAGTGAACTGGGAGAACCGTTTGAAGACGCCACCGTGCAATCGTTGGCAGGGTCCAACGGCGCGCACACCGACTGGGCCCCCGAAATGTACTTTACCGACCCTCTCTTTCAGGCGCAGATGATGGCCCACGACGACAATGCCGGCTGGGGTTGGGACATGTATTACGACCAGGCGCAGTTTCAACATCAACAGCAATTTCGATGATGCAGGGATGGATACTTTACTTATGAGAAGGGTATGTATGGATGGATGTTTATCACGCACCCGGGGAACCCAGTCCCTCTCTTTCGATGCAAGGATAAATAGATAGACAGGCAGTAACGCGCTACGGTATACGCGAGAGGATTCAATTGATTGATTCAGATGTATGAGAAGCCAAGCTTGACTTTTACCCGGTTTCATGAAGATGTTGGAAATCTTGTTGTGTCTTGGAATCGGATCAAGTTGGGACACATCGCTCTCTATATGTACTCGGTAAGCTAGAATATATCATGTCTGAACGAGTCAAGTCTTTGATGATTGATTGACACTATCACTATATTCTATTTTCACTTCGTGCTTGCTAGTATTCGCCCCATCTCGTCTTGCTGGCCTCCCATCTCTCGATCACCGCTGCGGCCTGTTTATCCTTTGACGTGGACGGTCTCCGCCTCGGCCACCGCCTCGTTAGACTCGTTCGACTCCTCGTCGAGCGCGAGGCCGCGGGCGATCTTTTCGAGCTCGCGTTCGCGGCGGATGACGTCGTCGGCGACGAGGCCCTCGACGATGGCCTTCTCCTCGAACGCGACGGGGACGATGACGTTCTCCTCGGCAAAGTAGTTTGTCTCCTTGACGTAGGTCAAAATGACGTAGTACAGCGAGGCCAGGGCCAGGGCGTAGACGCACAGCTGGATGATGATCTGGTTCTTGTAGCTGACGGTGCGGGCGTCGAGGGTGAAGGCGATGCACATGCCCAGGCTGACGGTGCCGCGGAAGGCGCCGGCGTAGCGGGCGCACAGCACGGGGTCGTTGGTCAGCGCCGACAGCGTCCACTGCACCACGATCTGGAAGCACGCGTCGACGATGCCGAAGAACAGGTACAGGAAGATGTAGCCGACCGCCGCGCTGCCGTCGGTCCAATCCGCCCCCGGCGGCGTCTTGTGTCGGTCGATGTCGTGCACGCAGATCCAGCCCAGCACGCCCGCCAGCGACGCCATGGTGATGGTCCCGATCGCCGTCACGCCGACGACCCCGCGCATTTTGCGCGACTTGATTTTCGGGCTGTCCATGACCCATGCGAGCAACAGGGGTGCCGGAATCATGATGAAGTTGAACAGCAAGTTGGCTAGGGATCGCGTTCGGAGGTTGAAGAAGTAGCCTGTCAAAAAGTGTTAAACCCAGGTCTTTTGTCAATCTGGTTGGAGTGATGATGGTGCAGATGTTCCTCCCTGAAGGACGTGCTTGCGCAAAGAAAACTCACCATTGATACTGCTCGCCGGAGCGAGAATCATTTCACCGGCAAACATGGCCGGCAGGAGGATGATGATCTTGGGGTCTGACATGACCTTCCACACTCCCACAATCTCGGTTTTGATGTTGGGTTGTTTGAACACGGCGATGTGACGACCGTCGTCGCGGACCACGTTCTTGGGCTTGACCAACAGCAGCAAGGCACCGACAATGGCACTAGACAGGGTCAGACAGTTGCTTCTTGCAGCTTTGCTCGTGGCGATTCCTTACATGCACATGATGATAATGAAAACGATATAGACCGCGGCGGAGGCGCCATCGACACTGGTCTTGTGGAAGTTGGCCGCAAAGGCAATGAGCGATCCGATGGTGCCGCCGACGGCCGACAGAGACCATTGATACGTAATGTACTACACGGTTCGTCAGTTCTGAACCCCGTCGTGGTTTGTTCCCAATGTCTCACCTTGGCCTTGTCCTTTTCCTCCGCATAGGCGAATTGGATGAATCCGGCACCTGTCCAGAGCAGGGCGGCAGAGAATCCGAGAAAGGCACCGGCTATAATTCTTAGCAAGGGTTTCTCTCCTCGAAGGGAAGAGTGACAAACCAAACAGTGGAAACGCCTGGTCAACACCATTTCCAAAAGCCCACAGAGAACCGGCGTATAGACTGGCAGGAGAAAAATCAGTACTCTTGTCGTTCCAACAACCGATACAAGAACTCACGGATAGCCAAGACCGCCAATACAGACGGTGATGCTTGGGCCAAAATAGTTCAGGAACGTGCCGGCACACCATCCAAAGAAGGTGTAGACGCCATAAAGAATGCTATACAAACGTCAGATCTCGAAAACCCCATCTCACAAGCACGCCCTGACACATACGAGTTTGTGATGGATGCAACGTGCTGCGAAGTGGGTTGACCTCCACCAGCCCCCAGACCCGTCAAGGCCAGGTATATCCCAGGCAGACAAGCGAGGATACATCCCATGAGAAAATTTTGGTTGAAGGGGCGGTTCAACCGCAGCTTGCCCTTGAGGGCGCTCGAGTTGGCCATCTCTCCAAAGTAAATGTGACCGAGAATTGTCGTCGTCCTGGATGAATCTTGAACAGAACGATCAGGTGAGGTTGGTAAGGGGTTGGCTCTCATGTATCCCCCGACTCCATATATATGCATATTTCGATCAAGAGTTGCCCAGCCGCGATATGTCAGTTGAATTAGATGGCGGACCACTTGCCTATCCTCGGGGAGATAGCCACGCGATTCCTTTCTGGGGGCATCAATCTAGCTGTAGACAAGCGCGAGCAAGGCTTGCGGCCTCTTGGGTCGGCGACTGAGCGGAGGCGCCACGTTCGGGTGGGGAGCATGGCCAACATGGTACTTAGGTCGAAGATGAGAGAATCCAATGATGAAACGGGAATAGATGATGACCAAAGGTGGCAAGAAACAGTCTCTATAACACCACTAGCGACTTTTTGGGTCGTGGGGAAGTCGATCTTCCTCGGTGTTTGAAGGGCGTTTCGACGGCGAATTGACAAGGACGCGGTCTCGGAGCGGACAAATTGCCACTTGTCCAGCAAAATCCCAGCAACTCAGCGAGCCTGATACAAGGCAGCTATAGACATGGCAGACATGGCAGACGTGGCAGACGTGGCACATGTCGCTGGACGTGTTCGTTGCTGCAGGAACATACTACGTGCACCAATGAAAGAGACATGATCTGCCTTGGTGATTTTTGTCTTTTGCTTCCTCATGCCGACGGGCAACTTGCTGACTCCCTTTTTGGCATCATCCGCGTTATCGCTGGTGAGATAAAAAGGAAAAGCGTTTAGTCGCACTGATAGTTGTTGATACACAATCCGAGTGCTTCTCTCTTATCTGGCCAGAATTTGCTGATTATCTCACATCATGGGTAGCCTCGGGACGGAAGAGATCACACAGGTGGCCGTGTTGGAGAAGACCGCACCGGCGGCTGCTGCTCCTTCTTACGGGACGAAGTCGTCGTTTGCGCCTCCGACGGTGCGCTATGAGGATGCTTTCATCTCATACGAGCGCATGTTGGCTGGGAGCGATCTAGAGGCCTGGCCGGCCCGCAAACATGTCGCGGTTCCCGAATTCGACGCAGCCAATGCGCAGGTGGATGACGTGGTCGAAGGACTGAGGGCCGTGGGCGGCGTCGTAGTGCGCAGAATCCTGTCGCCAGAGTCGCTTGCGCAGATTGAACGGGATGTGCGACCGTATCTTGAGGCTGACGTGCCCTGGGAGGCCGGCAACAACTTCTTCCCACCATCGACGCGACGGGCATTTGGGCTGTGCGCCAAATCGCGCACCTTCGCGGTCGACCTGGTCGGCAACGACCTCTACCAGGCCGTGTGCGAGCGCTTCCTCACCACCAAGAGCTACCCGTGGTACGGGGACCGCGACACGCTCAACGTGTCGCCACCGCAGCTCAACAACACGATCGCCTTTTCCGTGCGGCCGGGCAACAGCTACGACCAACCGCTGCACCGCGACGACGACATCCACTACGCCGACCGGCCGCGGGTCGACGTCTACCCGCGCACCAATTCGCGCGAGTACGGGATTGGCTTCTTCGTGGCCGGCACAAAGACGTCCAAGGCCAACGGTGCCACGAGGTTCATCCCAGCCAGCCACCTCGAGGCGACCGAACACCCGCCTGACGAACGCTTCGCCCACTACGCCGAACTCAACCCCGGCGACGGCTTCATCATGCTCTCGAGCTGCTACCACGGCGGCAGCGCCAACACTACCACCGACGAGGAACGGTTGCTGTTCAGCTGCTTCATGACCCGCGGGTGGCTGCGCCAGGAGGAGAACCAGTACCTCGCGGTGCCGCCCGAAATTGCCAGAACCCTTCCCGTCAGGATCCAGAAGATCATGGGCTACGCCCTGAGTGATGTGAGCTCCTTATTCCCCCCAGAATTTTCCCTTGATTCCATTCCCTCCTGCTAACCCCCCCGGCCAGCCCATGCTCGGATGGCTCGAGTTCAAGGATCCCCGTAGTACGATCGACCCCGAGGCCGAGCGCGTCGCGCACAAAAAGAACAAGTACACCTAGTTAGTACGAGCGGAGGATGTGGTAGGAATGAATAGACATCGTCATTGGCATCAAATGAATATAATACGAATTTGAGAGAAGCAGCTTCTAGGTACACAACCCAGAGGGTGGGAAGCTCTATAGACAAATCATGACACAGGAATGAGAAAGCTGTACCGAGTTATTCACATCTCAAGCCCTGTCACTTCTTTTCTACTGCTGGATAATAGTTCCTTTTGGGCCCTTTGCAAATTCCAGCAACACGTTCCTCGTCACCAGCGCGGCCGTGTTGTCGTAACCGTTGTATCCCAGTCCGCAGTACCAGCTGATGCTGCCCACGGAAAAGACTGCCCCTCCACCACTCGTCTCGTAGTATGTCATGTCCGAGCGGATCAGGTTGGTCTGGGTCCCCAGCGTGCCCTGGATGGGGAAGCTGACGTCTTCTGGGAAGAGGCCAAAATCGTCAGAGTGGCCGACGCTGGACGCGACAACGACCACGTTGGCGGGACTGCCATAGGCAAAGTCGACGCGGTCAATCTCGTCGGCACTGGCGCCGCCGCCGTACTCGCCCAGAGAATTCTCGCCGATGAGTTGGTTCTCGGGAATGTCACGGAACAGCCACGAGGCCAGTTCGGGGTGGGATTTGCGAAGATCTTCGGTCTGACGATATGCGACACCTAGGGTCTCGTGTTAGATAGACTGTTGAAGAAAAGGGGAAAGTTGAAGAGATAGCACCTACCTGCGCCATGTCCCTCTCCACAGCATCCGATACCCACCAAGTAATTCGCCGCCTTGCCATAATCTCGCCAAAGACCCCCTTGCTGGCCGTTGAGAGAGTGATGCCGCTCGCCAGGCTCCTGCCACGAAGTGCGCACTCCCTGGCCTCCACGGCGGACCTCTGACCGCCACGGTCGTTGTGGATCCGTCACCGAAACCCAGTAGAAGCCATTTCCACCGAGATACATCATGTTTCCTCCTTGCTGGACAAACCCTTCGTATGCCGCGTACGACTGCAGAGTGGGATATTCCGGGTGGCACCCAGTAATGACCGTCGTGTAGGGCGCCAGCATGGAGGCGCCGTAGGTGTGAAGGTCGTGGTCAGTGACCACATCGTATGGAACGCCCGACTGGTCGAGGAATCCGACCATGATCAACTCGGCACTGAGCTCGCGAGGACGGTGGCCCGACCAGTTGATATAGTCGGGCCGGTTATTGAGCAATGGACGTTTGGCGGAAGAGAAGACGACGCCGCTGTGGTCCTTGTGGACGTCGTATTGGGAAAGACCGAGGTCTCTCCGTCGATCTTGCTTGTAGAACGTCTCATCTTTGTAGAATTCCAGGTTATCGAGACCAGCAGGGATTTCGGCACGAGCGGGTGTGTCGGGGTCGAACATGTGGTCGTTGGCGTAGGCGAGATATGTAAACGTGGACATGACTATGGCGACCTTAGCTCCTACCTATGAGAATCTTGTTAGTGGCCTCGGTTTTCCCACATCTTGCAGCATTCTTTAGAGCCGGGATCTCACCTTGGCCGTGGTTTCTGGAGTCGGTCTCACGTAAAAGACCACGTTCTCGCCAACATCATCGTCAGCGCCGCGAATCACGACACTGTACACGCCCGATCTGGCGTCCTTGGGGATTTGAATCGAGAAATCCGTGTCCCACTCGGCATCGTCCAAGTCGTCTTCGTGGAAATGAATGGCTCCGTACCCATACTTTGCCTTTGTCCAATCCGTTTCCGATCCATCCCAGTCGTGTCCCTTCATCGCTCGTGTGGGCGCGTTGACCAAATCACCATGTCGCTTATTTTGAGACACGTCGAAGAAACGATCACTCGAGATTTCGATGGCGAAATCATACTTGGCAAGGACACGCTCGCGCACCCCAGTTGCTCTCAGCTCAAGTGAGTCGAGTCGGCCATTGTACTTGTTTGTTGGAACGACCGTCTGCGAGCTGTCTTGGGGAGATGCCTGTCGGTTGGCCGCCACGAGCAATGGCGTACACGCGGCGACCTTGAATGGGCTTTTCAAATCCGCGGTGAACACACTCTGCTTTGCTACCGGCTCGGTAACGCGAGATTTCGGTGTCAGGACCGCCTCCAGTTGCGTTCCGCGAACGGTCAGGTCGAGTTTGAACCACCTCCGCTTGACGGGAGTGAAGCCGGAACGAACAACTTGGACGTCAGCGCCACATCCGACCCAAAACTCAACCTGCCCTTGCTGATCGAGAACCACGTCAATTCCGGTCTTGCTCGAGACGTCCAAAGTAGAGACGATCGCCTGGACGTGGTTGCACGGGATCAGCCATGGTTGCACGTAGACGGAGATCTTCAGCCCGTCGTCTGCTGCAGTCAGGCCAATATCCTTGACTTTGCCATACGAGCCGATGTGAGCCACTTGGTATCGACCATCGCGTGAACCGCGGGGGATCTCTGTGATTTCCTCCTCCTTGTGCCGCGGGCTTTTCTCTCCCTCGTGGCCCTGGATGACGCGGACGGTGCGGTAATTGTACCTGGCTTCGGTACAAGAGACCTTGATGTCGACGTTATCCCCGGGGCTCACGATCCAAGGTTGCGCATAGCCAATGATTTCCTTGGGATAATCTTTCGGGACTGGCACAATGGTCGTCATGGTAGAAGGAGTAAGTATCTGAAGGTCGACCGTGAATGCTGGCGACAAGGCGACGACACCCACGCTCTTAGCCTGGCATTATGAACCTTTATCTCTCGCAGGTGAGCGCGACGGGGATGGCCATCAATCAATGCAGAGACACTGAGATATTGGCGGAGGCGGCCTCAGCGAATAGGAAGGCTGCCATATCCAGTGAACAATCCCTGGGCGTGGAAGAGCGTTAGTCAGTGTCTACTTAGGACTAGGATCTCCGCGCTTAATCGTCGCCGTAGCATTCTGGATACACACGTTGTGGGGTGGGACTTCGGCGTTCCAACGGCGTTCGCTGTGGCCAGCAAAAGAACCGCAGAACCACAGGCGGCTGGTGGCAACTACACCGGAAAGTGGCCGACGCTGACTGACTGATAACGAGCGCATTCATAAAATGATTGTCATCGTCTCCAGGACTACGGCCTTGGCTCCAGAGAATCTTGTAGGAAAGGAACCATACCCGGTCTGGCCTATCCGTCTTCCCAGACGAGAATGAGAGCTGCAGCTGGACGTGTTGAGACTGTAAGTCCCCGCATCAGGAGTTGTAACACATGCCGAGAGACATGCTCATGAGCGGAATATCCTCCCTCGAGTAACGAACTGAAGACAGTCGAGGGTTGCAGTATGAGTACCGAAACGAGCGGCTGGACGCATTCCAATTTCACCGTCTTACAAACTATCATCAAACTTTGGATTGCAGAGGCATCATTGAGTTGATGCTAGAGCCTCGGAAACAGCCTATGCTTTGCCATCACCACAGTGTGGTTTGGGTTGACAGCGCCGCAGCGACTTCTCTGTCAGTTTTGGGTTCAAAGTCATCGACTCCATATATCTCTGATCGTAACCCATCAATAACTCCTTCAAGCTCACGGAACTTGCCCTGAGAGATGGAAATACAACGGCCCGCCAGGCTTTTGTCCTGCGCGAGGTAGAGCACAGCAGGTGCAACGTCGTCTCCAGTCTGCAATGGGACATTGGCCTCCTCAAACAGCCTCTGTGACTCTGTGGTCAAGCCCGTGAGTGTAAAGGATGGAGCAATGGCATTGACAGTGATCCCCCACTGCAAAACGTGTCGCCATGTGCCTCGTAAAAGCCCAATGGTCTGTTATTCGCTCATAGGTCAGCATGCTGTTGTTTGGTAAGGCATTTCTGTTCACCTTGTTCCGACAGACTCTCTCACGGCACTAAGAGACGGAGACATGCATTACTTACACCGTGTTTGGTGGCGGTGTACACGGGCATCGCATAGCCTGCATAACCTGGAGAGAATTGTCAGCGACTGGCCAATGTCCACCGCCGTGGGCAGATAAACATACCTCCTCTCGACGCACAGAGAATGATGCTGCCTCCGTTTGGGTTAGCTTTGAGGTAGTGGATGGCCAGCTTCAGTGTGATCAGCTGTCCGATGAGATTGATCTTGACTGTGCTCCAGGTTGGCTCGATTGGATCGCCTGAGACGCTATCAACCTTGTCCTGCAAAGCCATCTCGCCTTCGGCGATGCCAGCATTGGCGTAGACAACATCAATGCCACCGTGAGCGCTAATCGTCTGCTTGAATGCGTTCAATTGTGACGTCCAGCTGGTGACGTCCGAGATGATGGTTTCAAAATCGGCATGTTGGAAAGAAGCAGGAATTGTCCGATCAAGATTGACAACTTTCGCCCCTTTGGACAAGAAGAGCTTTGCCGTGGCCAATCCTATTCCCGACGAGCCTCCTATACTCATCCTGAGATGTCAGCAAACCAAACCCCAGCCCTATTCTTTCTCGAAGGGGCAGAAAATGCGAACATTACCTGTGATCAATACAACCTGTCCTTTGAAGCTTCGAATGCTCTCTGGGCGAATTTCGAGATCCGCCTTAGCCATTCTATTGTGCACGCGCCTGCCAAAATCTTTTTGTCGACGATTCAAGGATAGAAATAGCCGGTCGTGAATCGGCCCCTATTGGTATGCTGATCTGGATCCTGTTGAGAGGGAAAGCGAGGACTTTTTAAGACCTTTTTTTGAACTTGGGTAATGCTCCCGTCGTCGTTTGGTCTGAAAATTGCCTGCGCTGGGTTAGTAGATTTACCAACCTTCGGCACAAGAAGAGACATCCGCATTCCCCGCGCCCTGGTTCTCGGTGCAAGCTGGGCCGTCCACAATCTAAGTCGGGGGCGGGGGCGGGCAACCATCTCTTGACGTCCGACGGAGGGCCATGTCGTGTCAGGTATGCCTGGATAGAAGGATAGAAGATCAAGTGACGCAACAGTGATGGAGCTGTTGGGTTGGTCAAAAAGGAGGACATATTCCCTGTCATCCTCCTCTAATGGAAAAGTCTTCTCACTTGTAGCGAATACATAGTCGTCCCTACAAGTGAATAGGGATCATGGCCATAATTCACTCTCTTGAGGAGCTATTGTCTTCTAGAGATCACCTGGTGGCTCTCTTTGTCCTTCCTCCTGCTCTCGGTCTTGTATATTTCCTCCAGTGGTTTATCCAGAGATACTTTCTCATCGGGAAATACAGAAACCTACGCTATCTGGTGAGTGAAACAAAGTGCTATTTGTTGAGAATATGCCCTGCTGAGAAAAACCCTAGCCTCCAGGACCACCCAGTAGTATCTTCACCGGAACCCCAGGCTACCCAAAAGACAAATGCCACATATTTTTCAAGAAGCTCTCTGAGGAATATGGTGAGATAATCAGTGTCTGGCAGGGCCCAAACCTGCAGATTGTGTTAAACTCTCCGCGAGTCGTACGAGACTTGTGCTACAAGGTAGGAATGAAGCAAAGACCCCCTTCGGCGACGCCTGGAGATTGATGCAGTACTGATTGAAATGCAGCGCGGAAATATCTACAATGACCGGCCAAAAATGTATGCGTTCCACGACTGCATCTTTCGCGGTATATCCATCGTCAGCACTGGTTACAACAATGTGAGTGCGCCCATCCTGCCTTGGAACAAGCAACGAAACTCATTGTATGTCTAGATGTGGAAAAAGCAGAGAAAGATTTTCAATTCGGTCTCAGGCGCCGCTGCTGCCAAAAAGTTTCTTCCTTTTCAAGACTATGAAACCAAACAGTATCTCCATGACTTGCTGAAATCTCCCGAACAATTTTACCTGCACACAGAGCGGTTTGGGGCCAGCATTCTCACTACAGCAGTCTATGGGTATGTCGTCCTTGGAAGGTCTTATGTTTGGTGGATAGCTCGGCTGACAGACACGGTGCTCATGTTTCAGCTTCCGTGCGGATGATATCACTGATCCTTCTGCGCTGGGATTGCTTCTGACCGGGTCATGGCTGGAAACCAATCTTCATCCCGGAAAATTTGTCGACGATAGATGGCCAATTCTGCAGCAGATCCCACGATCTCTGGCGTGGTGGAGAAAAACCTATGATGACAATGCGAAAATGCTGGACTCGATTGCACGGGCATGGTGGGATCCTGCAAAGAAGGCTGTAGACCAAGGCAAAGCTGTGCCATGCTTCGCAACCGATTTTATCAAGCAGTACCCATCAGAAGGCTTCAACGAAGACGAGGCGGCCCTTGTTACTCTCGGTCTGATGCTGGCTGGCGCCGGCACCACCAGCTCGATCCAAAATTATCTGATCATGGCATTGGCTTTACACCCACGTGTGGTTAAGAAGGCCCAGGAGGAACTCGACTCGGTGGTGGGCAAAGACCGAATTCCAGTCAAGGATGATGAGCACAACTTGCCTTACATCCGGGCTGTCATCAAGGAAACCCTCCGCTGGCGACCCTTTTCAAATCAAGGTACGTGGTTTATTGGAAAATGGTGCTTTCAGTCATTGGTGTGTCGCGTTTGGGAATTCTGACAAAAAGATCCGCTTGCAGGTTTCTACCATGCGACAAGCAAGGAAGACTGGTACGGATCATATTACATTCCTGCTCATACCACCATCATAGCGAATGCCTATTCCATCCATCAAGATGAAAAACGGCACAAAGACCCAGAAGTCTTTGAGCCCATGCGCTACATCGATTACAAGCTCAGTGCTCAGGAGTATGCGAATATGGATGACGCAGAGCAACGTGATCATTTCGCCTATGGTGTCGGACGCCGCATCTGTGCGGGTTTGAATATGGCGGAGCCCAGCCTGTTCCTGCTTGCATCTCGATTGTTGTGGGGTTTCAATGTCAGCCAGAAGTGTGATGAAAATGGGAAACTGATTCCCATCGACACCCTGGGATATAGCGGTAAGCATTGCATCCCCTTCCGTCTTACAAGTGTCGCTCCCTTTCATGGCGCGACCAACCTCAACACCCGTCACCTCTTGCTGAGATTCACACAGGAGGCGTCTTCGCCAAACCGTTGCCATTCGAGGCCTCTATCTCTTGTCGAAGCGAGCAGCATGCTCGCGTGATCGAGGAGGAATTCCAAAATGCCCATAGTGATGTGAGAAGTTTGGCACAAGCTACCAAAGACGGGGATATGCCTGGGATGCAGAACCTGGTAAAAGTATTGATGGCACATCCCGATACCCATTTCGCGGGCAAGACGTGAGGACGCTCGCAGCCGTCAAATTTTCGGGGGGGCCTTCAAGAGCATTGTCACAGAGGGGTTTCAAGGACGGTAGCGAAAGCTGGAACGATATAACGAAGCCCGACACTAGGGATAAAATTGCTCATCCAAGCAAGGATTGGGGAGGGGAATCATCAACGAGGAAGAAAACCAGGCTGCTATGCCTTTGGTGCTTTGAGATCGCAGACAGTGCATGTGAACAAGGAGTGTCATCTCTAGTCCCCAGAACCTCCATTCATAGCAGTCCTTCTGGACTGATTTTCTGCGTACAAGGCTGTTAGCACATGCATCCAGGGAGCTACTTGATCTGTAGTAATACCTAGAGCGAGTCTTCGGAGTCGTTCTGGGCTAGATAAACTTGGTACCAAGTCCTAGCCAAAGTAAGAATGTATCGATTCCAGCGCAAGATGATTCGTATATACTGGTAATGTGATATTGAATAATTCCAATTACGCACTATTAAGAATATACCAATACTTATCTCTACAAGTAGACTTAGACTCTCTCCTGACGTGACGCGCAAGAGGTCTTACTTGGCCTCGGTCTATCCTTCTCGTTCCAACCTTCCCATCCGCCCTTAGAGAGAGAGAGAGAGAGAGAGATCACTGAGATGGATCCATTTGGAAACGTTTTGGGAGCCCAGTGCCCGTAGTGGGCTGTTGCAGGACGTGGGGGCGGGCATTCGAGCGCAGAGGAGGCAAAAGCGGGCATCCGTGTTGGATGGGTGGATGCTGAAACGGCCTCGGCTGCCATCAAACAACCTGCGTAGGGCTGGTGGCACTGACTTGCTCTGCTGGTCTTCTGTTCGGTCGTTTGCCAAAGAAGTCAAGAGCCACGATGGTACTAATAAGTGCGACGAAGGTCGAACTTCCAGCAGATGTACAGCGTCGGGAATTTTCACCAACTGAGGGGGAATAATATAGAGCACCTGGACCTCCCGCGCAACGGTGGTGGTGGTTATTGTTTGCTCTGGCCGACTCTCTGTTGGCCCTTTCCCCTCTGTTTTGTTCTTCTCCGATCAAAAAACGTGCTGTCCTCGATAGAATGGCCGATACTATTTTACCCGACTTGAGATCCTCAGGGACTCAGCCTGGGGGTTCCCAACCGATCAAAGCTCAACGACACCTGCGCGTAATCTGCGTGGGAGCTGGAGCGTCTGGCCTGTTGTTTGCATATAAGCTCCAGAGGTCGTTTGACGATTTTTCGCTGGTACTGTACGAGAAGAATGGCGAGCTCGGGGGCACATGGTTCGAGAACAGATATCCCGGGTGAGTGACGACGGGTTTCTCTCCGTCTCCCCTGGTCACTACTAAACTCCCCCCAATCTATTCATGACCAGTGTATGAGTGTCTAATATTGTCACGTTTGTCACAGCTGTGCATGCGACATCCCGGCACATACCTACACCTGGTCCTTTGAACCCAAACATGACTGGTCTGCCGTCTATGCCGGAAGTCGAGAGATATACCAGTATTTCAACGACTTCAGTGACAAGTACAAGCTACGACGATACGTGAGAGTGAAACACCAGGTTACCGGGGCGAGATGGGACGAGAAAGAAGGCACTTGGGATGTCACGGTCCAGGACCTTCTCTCTGGCAAAACCTTTCCAGACCGCTGTGATATCCTCGTTAATGCCGGCGGCATCCTCAACGCCTGGCAGTGGCCGCGGATTCCTGGTCTCCAATCGTTCAAAGGTCCATTATTGCACAGTGCGAATTGGGATGACAAGACGGTTCTCGAAGGTAAAACTGTCGGCCTGATCGGAAACGGGTAAGCCAATATACCCTGTGATCTAGCTCTCTCTGACTTCCCCTGGTCTCGATGCTGAGTTCGTCCCTATACTTTAGGTCTTCCGGGATTCAAATTCTCCCAGCTATTCGCCCGATTGCTAAGAAGGTCACGACCTTCATCCGTGAGCCAACTTGGGTCTCGCCAGTACAAGGCCTCGAGGGTCGAACATACAGTCGTGAGGAGCGAGAAAGCTTCGCAAGGGACAAGGGAAAACTCCTCGAATATCGCAAAGGCATCGAATCCGCACTGAACAGCCAATTTGCCATCTTCCTTCAAAACACGCAGGTCCAGCGGGATACCCGCCAGCACATGCAAAAGCAGATGTCGGAGAAGCTTCACGATCCCGTCCTCGAAGACAAGCTGATCCCGAAGTGGTCGGTGGGCTGCAGGAGACTGACCCCCGGCATTGGCTATTTGGAGTCTCTGAAGGCGGACAACATCGAGGTCGTATACGGAGAAATCCTCAGTATCACGCCCGCAGGTTGTGTTTGCGACGACGGTCGAGAGCATCCCGTGGATGTCTTGATCTGTGCCACCGGGTTCGACACGTCCTTCAAACCTCGCTTTCCTGTCATCGGGACCAAGGGCAAGAACCTGCAGAATGAGTGGGCAGAAGAGCCTGCTTCTTATCTCGGTATTGCCGCCCCAGGGTTTCCAAACTATTTCATGTTCCTGGGGCCCAACTGTCCTATTGGGAATGGGCCGGTCTTGACGGCGATTGGTAAGATTCTCGTCATATATCTCTTGTGTGCCTGGTTGAATGTTTTCTGCCCTTTATTTCAATTTCCTTTTTTTTTCCCGCCGTCGATCTCACCATTTGTGGGGCGGCGGATACGAATTTCAACGACGATTTTGAATATGGTGTTCCTCTATTGGCTTGATTGAATCCGACTGACCGTTTTTACAGAGGCGCAAGCCGATTATATCTTGAAACTCATCAACCGCTGGCAGACGGAAAACATCCACTCCATGTCACCCAAACTCGAGGCGGTCAAGGATTTCATTGCGTACAAAGACTCGTTCATGTCGAAAACGGTGTGGCATGAAGAGTGCCGCTCGTGGTACAAGAACAACTCGGCTTCGGGTAAGATCGCCGCCCTGTGGCCCGGCAGTACATTGCACTACCTCGAGGCGGTGTCTGATGTGCGAGGTGACGACTGGGAGATTGAATACAAGGGGAACCGCTTCGCCTTTCTCGGCAATGGTTTCTCCCAGACCGAGGTGGACGACACGGCCGACTTTGCATATTACATCAGAGACCACGACGATGGCCCTTTCTTGAGCTTCAAGAAGAATCTGCAGGCGCTTAATAAGAGTGGCACGATGGCTGGGAGAGCCAAATTGAATATTATGGTCAAGAGGGAGTCGAATTTATAGTCAAAAAGAGTCATCTGGGACTGTTGAAAAAAAAAAGGCCCTGTGAGAACCGCCTTTCTTCTGTCTGTCTGTAGAGCCCTTGATAATTAAAACATTGATTATTCTCACCAGCCGAGACGTGCCAACCAGTCCCAGATGGTAGTGGACATCCTGCCCGCCGTGAAGCCGTATTGGCTGTCCAGAATGCACTCGATATGGATCTGCTTCTCACAGATGACCGTGGTGGCCGGGACGGAGGCGTCGGCCAGCTGTTTCCCCAGTCCGATGAGGTCGTCTCGAAAAACCTCCTTGTCTCCGCCCACAATCAAGACCTGCTGTGCTGGGAAGTTTTTCCACCACTCGGCATCGGCGGTCACGGGTTCAACCAAGCTGCGATGTACGATAGCGCTGTCCAAGCCGGCCGGCGGTAGGAATAACTTGGCCCATTGATGCATCTGTGATGCGAGGACGACGTCGGCTCCCGCATTCTCGCGGTAAGAGCGTGACGACGACTGGAAGCTGGACCAAGGGCAGATCAAGAAGACGCCCGCCAAGGGTGAGGGCAAGTCGAGCTGTGGCAGCGTGCTGGATGGGTGCAGAGCTTGGGAGATGATGGCCAGACATATGTTGCCTCCGGCCGAGTCGCCACCGAGGATGATCTACCAGATTAGATACCACAAAGTCAGAGGAATATTATTACTTCCTGTTTGCTCGCCCAAAAAACAATTGTGAGAAAGAAACCATGGTGCTCCAGACGGGGTAATAGAGGAGCTGGACAAACTTACATTCGAAGGCATATGGCCAAGATGGAGCACGTACTTCAAAGCCTCGATGCCCTGGATGTACTGGGTCGGATAGACAGTCTTCGGAGTCAACCCTGGTGTTTTGAAAGTTTCCGTTAGCTCAATCTCTTTGGGGGAAAAGAAGAAGCGACATCCTGGGCATGGACACTATACTTACCATACTCGACAAAGGCTACGAGAACGCTCTCGCCCTTTTCCTGTAGCACTTTGGAGCAGTCAAGCACAAATCCCAGATGGCCGGCATTAGGAGCTAAAGCGAACCCGCCTCCTGTGTCATGGTTAAACAACTGAATAGTTAGCTGCCCTCCTGTCAAAAAAAAAGGGGGTTGGTGTAACGAGGTGCTGTAGGCTGCTGGGAGGAGCTTGGTTGCTTTCGGTCAAACGAACCGTGAAAATACAAGATGACTTTTGTTGTTGTTGTTGCTGATGTTGTTGAAGATGATGTTGATGCTTTTCTACGTAACCAATGAATTTTGGCCCCAGCGCTTCCGGGAACGGACTCTTCATGCAGCGAAATGTCATGTTCCCTGCAGTATGCGCGGACAGTATCCGATGTGCCTGGAAAGAAGGACCTAGGCAATGCATGGTGTCGACCATGTTAGCGCACAAGTTGGAGCTCAGACGGAGGACGAAGATAGACGGCCAGCAAACTCACGGGAGTTGGTCAACATTAAAGATGCTCATCATTGTATGCAGGCGGCGATTGCGGTATTCGTGGCTCCATGATCTGGTTTTCGTCGGGTCTCGAAAGCATGTCGCCAACGCGGCGTAGACGCTATGCAAGGCTGAAGATTCGGGATATCAAAGTCAGAATAACGCCCTCAAAAGGACTCCTTTAGATGCGGGGACAAAAAAGGCCAAATGGGGATCTTTCTAGGGCAGATTTGGCTTGATAATAGTGTGGCGGTGTGGTATGTTCACCTAGAAAAGGTATTTGATAGACCAGATTCAGTGTAGGGAGCAGCATTCTGTCCGGGACCTTGCAATGTGTCGATATTCTGGATTTCCTACAACTCGTCCTTTCATGCACCTGTTTAGCACGTGAATGATCAAATCACCTTTGGAGTCTCGGGACTGTGTTTATGACTGATCTAAGCAGGAATGAGCTACTAGATTCTAGTCACGGCACTTCTCCTAAGCCTGTCAAGAGGGCAAACGACAAAGGTCGCTCTGAGCCTACAGCTTCCCATCCAACAGGGGGCCGAGGTTGCCCGCCTCTTCTTGAGACGGCCTGGGAAAGTCCGTGGCCAAGTCTACATCATCCGAACGACTCCTTTTCCCTATGGTCAAGTTGGGAATGTGCATTGCCAAACTAATGTGATGTTCGAGGCCGATGGTCTAAAGTAGAGAACATACTGACCTAGCCTTGGTCAAAACTGTAGACCAAATCACTTCATGTTCGGGCTATGTATTTTTTGCCACGACGCCTATTATAGATGGTACAACTCTTTCTCCTGAAATATTTGGTAATGTACTTTTACCTTCTCCATGTGTGGTTGCGGATTATACAGTACATGACAGCACTTCATTCTCAACTCATCTCTCCTGGCCCTTGAGTCGAGTGACTTCGACATACAATGTTATGGGAAGTGCGATTGTTACCCACATGCCATATCCTCGATCTGTTTACTCATGACTGCCACTCGATATTGCAAGCATTCCGACAAATTGTTCAAGACTGAGGAGAAAGAGCCCAGGTCAGAGAAAAGCCAGAAGGGAAAGGAGAAAAAGGATAAAAAAAGTAGAACAGGGCGTGGAAGGAGCCAAGGAAAAACATACCTGGCCACACTGATGAATACTCGGACAAGAGGCGGGAATATACTTGCAGCAGCGTCAAGACTATTTCGGCGGCACCACGAAAACCTTTGACCGGGGCTTCGACGGCCGCACAAGATCCAGTCAAGCCCATATTACTCCGACACTTGCGAATCAAACGACGGCAAGCTTGGATGATGGTCCAAAATTCTTCGGACCACAGGTCACCTTGGTGGAAAGAGTCGTATGCTTGTGTCTCTCTTTGGAACCCTGATGCCCACGAGGCGAAAACTTGTAAACAGTGGAATACATTCATTGCCGAATGGAGGGGCATATGAGAAGCTTCTGAAGGAGATGTCCACCAGGGTGCAAGTCGAAATGTGGCTTCCAACGCATGGCTGGCATATAAGGTTATCTCATGCCACAAAATCTCCTGCTCCAATGTCTCTGATGCATTCCAGAGGTATTGTTCGTGGTCTACTGACGTTCCAGCAGTCCGGGCGGTGTGGCCCGGGCTATCCGACAAGGGCACGAGCTTCACTGAGGTCAGGTCTCGGCGATGGATAGCTTCTTTCATGGCCCGATCGTCGAGTTTAAAGGATAGATTGATGTGATCGAGCATGGGAAGGCAGCTCATCAGTAAGCGATATCTGGTTCCGAAGGAAGGCTGTCGAGGAAAACTCAACCACAGTCGCTGCCACCGCCTGACTGCGGATTTGAGAGATGGGACATCGTTAGGTATCACGTCATCTGTCAGCGGCGACGGCTGATTTTGAGTTCGTGCAAGGACGCAGACATGCAGGACCGATATCAGCAACAAACAGGCAAATTCTCCGATTCCTTTATCGGCGACGGTATCTTGCTGTTGCATTTCGAGAGCTCGCTCGTGAAAATTAGTCTCGTTCTCCAAGTCATCATCGAGACTCGTAGAGTGCGATGGAGTATTTAGGTCGAAAAGAGCCTTGAACTCGTCGACAAATGACGGCGGCGTCGACGAGTTCGGTTGGAGCTCGGCCCACGATCGCGCATCAGGGGCTTCCCATAATGCCTCCTTGCACGGGAGACTGATTTCCACATCGGCCAAGGATGGACGACAGATACCATTGAAATACAGATTGAAGGCACTGACCAACCACAGGGTTGAGAAAAAGAGGCGTTTTTGCTCTTCCTGATGGACCCATATCAACCATTTGACGTGCTGCCCTATTTCGAGAGACGAATCAACAGGTTGGAAGGCGTGTGAAGACGTGCCAATGCCTGCGCCTTTGATCAGCGCCAGCAAAGAGACACAGCCGCTCTTTGTCGTCTCATTCAAAGCTGTCTCTCCAAAAAAAGTCCCACATACGAGGTGTTGCAGGAGGGCTTGCATGATTTGTATGGGAGCCGATTCCACCGGCAGATTGCGGACTGATTTCAAGGATGATGTAAGTGCTGCGCTTGTTTGCCGGTACAACTCTCGAGCCAAGGTGACTTGGCCGCAAAAAGCGGCGCCCAATGCGAGCGTCGACAACAGCAATGGTCGTTGCATGCGGCGTCGACCGGATAGCAGTGCAGATGTCGGCCATTCCTCTATTGTAGGAGACAGAGGGACTTCGATCGATGCTGAGTCAAGATCGAGTGTTGGAAAATGCAAAAGCGGCAAATTAGGATTGAAATACTGTCTGTAGGAATTGACGAGAGCGTCGATGTTGCTTCTGTTCAACATGGAACTCAACGACACCATCGGCGACGGCGACGGCGGCGAAAATGGCCGGCATCCTGTTGGCCCAAAGGACATTGCTGAGAGAAGGCCGTCGAAAGCTGGCAAAAAGTTGATCCCTGATAGCAGCCGCGTCGTCATATCAGACTGGTCCATTTCGAGATCGAGGGCGGCGAGGTCGGGAGACGTAGACGTTACTGAACTTGACCTGGGTGGTGTGATTAGTCGATCTACAGCCTTTTGAACCGAGATATCTTTAGAAACCCAGTAGTCCCGTGAGGGGGTTATCAGCCAACGTTCTGTATGTTGTAGCTCGCTTGTTGCAGGAGACGGATCTGGTGGCAGTGCACTGTGTCGAGTATCGTCACCACCTGGAGATATGTCAACAGCTTGAGAGCAACTGTCTTCTCCGTGACCGTCAGACGGGGTCTCGCGCATGTCTGGATCTCGTGAACTTTGGTCCGCTGTGGTCCCGCTCGGCTCTTGTCTCGGGCTGGCTTCCCTCTCTTGTGGTGCAAAAAATTCCAGCCACGCTGTCGATTCTTCAAACGAAAAGCAATCGTCCGGCATGTCCGAGTGCGCAGATGTAGGCATGGGATGAACCTGTGCTGCATGGCGAAGCACCATATCTCGGCGCGCAAACGCGCGGTGACATTCAGGGCATGAAAATGGCTTCTGATTTGTATGTGTCCTCTCATGACGTTGAAGATGATCAGGTCTTACAAAGGTCCGAGGGCACGCTGAACAGCGAAGGCGACGATATGGGGCCGTTGCGACCCGCCGTCTCGGAGTGATTGACTTGGATAGGCCTTCCCGGATTTGAGTCCGCTGGACAATGTCCATGGTCGCGCACATATCACTTTCAGAAAATAGGCTGCGTGATGGCAGTTGTCAGGGCAGTGGTTGACAAGAGAACTTGGACATCCCAAGGGGATCTAGAGCATGTAGGCGTCGCCGTTGCGGTTTTAGCTCGGGTGCAGGTCACCAGCGCTTTGCGTTGATTGAGGCTCTTTCCTACAATATGCAGGGCCACTGATACCGTCGGATCTCTTGAGCAATGACACAAGTTCTAATCGAGCTTAGATAAAGTCGTCGATGGAGTGCCGACGAAATAAATCGACGAAAACTTGGGGAGCTGGGGTTCCCCAGGCTGGTCCCCTCCTCTTTGGGGTGTTGGGTGGGTCGCCCAGGCTGGAAGGAGAAGGCATTGGCACTTGTGCGCCTCTTTTTTCCGCTACGGTGTCGGTGGTGGGAGGCAAGTGGCAAGGTCTCCAGTCACACGTCTTGTCTCCCAATGCCGGGTCAGTGTGTTTTCTGCCACATGGCCCTGAGAACCTGGTACCTTGACATCCGATCAAGGGGCGTTTACAAATGGACATGCAATCTTGCTTCGGCCCAAATACTCCTTCGACCAACGCCCATTTTTTAGGCATTTTCACCGGTATTGCAGGCGACAGGTAAACACTACTCGCGGTTCGCATAGCCTGCTGTTCATGGTGACCTCGGCTGCCCACCCCCACAATACTAGCCGTCCGGCCAAAGGGGCAACCTACTTGGCCCCAAACCTGAAAGCACTAGCTGCAAGCTAGGAGAAAAAAGGCTCTCGGAGAATTGCCTCAGCCCTCTCAAAGCCAACGTCACTCCTGATAAGGGGGAAGCTCGCGCACGGATTTTTGCAGGACACAGCAGGGAAAGAGGGTGGGGGTGGACAATAGTACTATCGTTCGCTAGCTATGGACGCTTGTCTCGGACACTCTAGGTATACTTGTACTATTAAGGCATTGAAGGCGCAAAGTCGACGAGAAAATCTCAAGTACTTTGTATTATTCATGGTTTGACACGGTACTGCCCGTTGACCGCTGGAGGAAATGGCGGACGTTGAGATTCCCCAGAACTGCATTGCGGGATGCGTCGAAGATGCCGGCCAGTCCTTTCGATTGATTCTCGATCATGTCCCTGTACCCCGACCAGGTATGACTCCTTGCCACTATAACATTGTGAAACAGTGCTAAGGACAAGCTATTTTGTTGGATCTACAGGCCCTGATGAGATCTTGTTAAAGCTGGACGCCTCGGGAATTTGTTATTCCGACATACACTACATGTTGGAAGATCTGCCAACCCCGAGGTTGGCAGATTACGGTCTGAGGTCCCCGGGACACGAAGGGATTGGCTCAGTCGTCAGCCTGGGGAGCAATGTCAAGGACTGGAAGATAGGGGACAGAGGAGGAGTCAAGCCAATTTGGGATGCGTGCATGAACTGCGAGTTGTGCTGGGACGGGAGGGAGACTTATTGTCCCAAGGCAATTCATACGGGATGCATGAAGACTGGTACGTACGGTCGGACGACGCCACTATGCCCAGCGTCTGCATTCCATTTCTCACCGGTCCAGGGGTTGACCGTACTCTAGGGACATATCAGCAGTATATCCTGTCCCCTGCAAAGTACACAACCAGGATTCCTCCCGAGCTCAAGTCCGCAGAGGCTGCGCCGCTCATGTGTGCGGGTTCCACCATGTATCGGAGTGTAGGTCCACGTCCCCCATTTGGACGATTTCCTCAGACTGATGCAGCTCTGGACATCAGATCAAGGAGTCAGGACTCAAACCTCAGCAATGGGCCTGCATCTTAGGCGCGGGCGGAGGCGTGGGTCACCTTGGTATTCAGATCGCCAAAGCCATGGGCCTCCGGGTAATCGGCATTGATGGCGGTCCAGAAAAAGAGAAAATGTGTATGAAATTAGGCTGCCATGCCTTCGTTGACTTCTCGAAGGTTCAGAATATCCCAGAGGAAGTGGTTAGACTCACCGATGGAAAAGGAGCACACGGAGTCTTTGTGACGGCGACCAGCCCGAAAGCCTACACCATGGGCATAGAAATGCTGCGAATTGGCGGTGTTTTGATGTGTGTCGGACTGCGTGAGTGTTTCTTCGCGGTCGCGGTCCTTTGCTTCTGTGAACCATTCTCTAACTACATCTTTCAGCACCATTCGGCACGGCGGTTGCTGGTGGAGATCCGGCCTTGTTCATTGGAAAGAATATACGTGTCACAGGCACCCAGGTTGGGTCGATGAAAGACACTCATGATGTTCTTGATTTGGCTGTCAGGGTCAGTTGCTCTCTCTCTCTCTCTCTGGATCATCAACTGACAGAAACAGAACCTCATCCGATCTGTCATTACCACATTTCCAATCTCTCAGCTGCCGGAGGCTGTCCAGAGGCTGCGAACTGGTAATGTAGGAGGCAGATGCGTTGTGGAATTTGAAACATAGAACCAGGTCGTCCCAATCACTTTCCATGGGCACCCCCATATCCATACCTCTATTTTGTCTTGCAGATTTAGAAGGTCAATCAATACATGCATTTGATTTGGCCAACAAGTTACGCTGCTCAGCTCATTTAAGCGAACATGGTGGTCAAGTGGCAAGACTAGCCCTATAGCATCGGTTGAACCGTCCTCCAATAGTAGCATCCAGCATCCTAGAACACAAATCTCTGGAAGGAACCGGCTACCTTGGCTGCAGATCTACTTGTACACCTTTTGACCGAATAATGATTCTCGTCGAGCTAACACGGCCCTATCCGAGGTTGGTGGTTGACTCAGTCAAAGAACCACGAGGACGCCCTATATTTCAATGTTCCCCTGTCATGTTGGTGTTCCTGAGCCAATCATTTACCCCCTTGTCCTTGAAACACTCCATGATCTCTGGAATTCATCATAGCTCCCTCGTTCAAAACGCGTGATAGGCCAAAACCTCCATTCTAATCAATCGTGCCTGTTTCCACGACTTAACAGGTTTTTTCGGAACGTCTCCATGGAAGCCCTGTTGGCTTTTGCTATAGCAACAACTGGAATCATTCAATTTGCAGTATCCCCTGATAATCAACAGTAAGGAAAGCCCCCGGCCCTTGACCCTCACCCAAGGGAGCTGACGATTTCCAAACTGCCGACCTGTGCTATATGTAGCAATAACTAGGGTATAGTTCCTCAAAGCATCAACTCCTCCTTCCCACAACCTGGCTTACTACCAAACTTGACCTCTTTGTTATGATACCATTTGTCATTGACTTACATTCCACGGCACCAGTTAATAGGTATTGGAATGAACGGCTGCGAAATCAGCTTGATCATTTTTGCTGCGCTGATTGTCAATTTCGGCCCATCAGGGAATGAAGTCCACCGAGGTCTGGCCATTAACAATTTCTCAGGAACTTTGGGTGGAAATACTTTCTGATTTCTGCATCCCTGGGCTTCATCGGCGGGTGTCCCTCATACTCATTGTTCTGTCCCGACATCCGCAATGTACCACTCAAAGAGACCAGCCGCCCGTTTACCAGCGAGATAGTTGATATTGACCAGCAAATCCATGCAGTGAGACAGAGTCCAGCGGCTACCGACTTGATGGTCTTGAGCACAAAGATACTTTGTTGTGTACCGCGGTGGAAATTATTCGGCTAACCTTCCCAATAGGGTTAGGACAACACCAAGAATTTGCATACGATATATCTTGGCCTAGAAAAAGCGGGCAGCTGAGAAGATTGACAGCCTGACAGCCAACCTCGGTCGCCCGCTCCGATTGCATTATTGTTGCAAGTTGTTTAGAGGCCGAGTAGGTGCATGATGAATCCGCTACGCCTCAAGCAACCTCAGGCCTATACTTGTAAGGTCCTGTTTCCGGTGCTCGCAAGAAATCTTGACTATCTTGCCCACCCATTCGCTAGTTGAATCGCGTCGCGAGATTCAAGCGTAGTGGAAATAATAGTCCGATTACCCTAGGCGGACTTTCACTAGATGTATAGCCGCCTCTGTCACGGGGAGGCTATCCATTTCTTTCCTTCATCACCTTGATGTAGTGAGACTCAACGCCGTCCGTTCAAAAAGGAGCTGATATATTTATACCTCCTTCAGATTCCATTTACTCCCGAGCAATGGACTAGGCCAGAGACAGCAAAGGCAACGATGCCCTCTCTCAAGCACAAATTTTCTCTCAGGAAGCGAGCTCAAAAAGCCTGTGTTGTCTGTCGGGCTCGAAAAGTGCGTTGTGATGTATCGCTACGAGGAACACCTTGCACCAACTGCTTTCAGGACGGTATAAACTGTGAGATAGCACCTTCCGTGAGTCAATTGCGCCCCCCTCCCCCCCTCTTCTCTCTATGTGCCCTCGATACCACGAGCCTACGTTACTGACCCTGACACAGCTCCGGAAAAAAACGCGGCGTGCACCAGATCGAGGGCCGATCCTGGGGGCCAGCGACCTCGTGAACCAGAGTGAGCTTTGGCCTGGTGTATTGCTGGAAACAGGGGACGAGATCAGAAAATTGGGAGACCGCTCCGTGATTGAACTCCCTGATTATGTCCAGCCAGCACCTGGCTGGCTATGGACTGATGAGTTCCAGTACTTGAGTTCGAAGGGTGCTTTCAGGATGCCACCGCCGCCGCTGCTCAGGGAGCTGATATCTGCCTATGTTGAATGGGTCCACCCGGTCTGCCCGATCGTTGAGACTCGGGTTGTTGATTCTGTCCTTGCGCTATCCGACCATCCCAAGATAAGCTTACTCCTCCTCCAAGCCCTTATTTACGCTGGCTCAGTATTCATCGAGGAAGGCAAACTTCGGTTGTTCGGGCTTGCAGATAGATTCACGGCTCAGACTGTCTTCTTCGAACGTGTCAAGGTGCGTTGATTGATTGGTCTTGATTTTCCGGGGTTTCTTCTCACACTCAACCCAGCTGTTGTTCGATTTCAACTACGAGTGCGACCGCCTTTGCCTATTGCAGACCACAATTCTGATGTCCTTCTCTCAAGACTGGTCAAGGCCCTTGAAAGACAGCCGCTACTATCTGAATCTCGCCCATTCAATAGCTCTGCTGATGGGGCTTTCTGAGGAGGACACATATTCCAAATACCGCCCGGACATAAATCACCGTTTGAGACGCATCTGGTGGTCTCTGTATTGCCGAGATAAATTCGTGGCCATCTCAACAATGCAGCCCCCTTTGATCAAAGAGGCCGACTTCCATGTTGATCCGCCAATGCTTCCGGCAAATAATCTGGCACCCACAGGTGCATTGTCAACGTTTCAAGAATCATTTCGTCCAGGGCAGGACAACGACCCCGAACTCGAGACTGACGAGTGTCAGTTTACTCTGCCCTTTGTTGAACAAACGAGACTTTGTTTGCAAATCGGTCGCGTTTTAGACGATCTATACTACCCAGTCAGCGTTTTTACTGAGCCTTCTCATACCGGTGTCTTGTTGACAGCTCGCCCAGTTCCCCAGGCGACTGTAAGGGCTCTCCAGCAAAGTCTCACAATATGGTGGGGAAACCTCGAACACCCTTTACGCCTAAACCTTCTCGACATGGATGGCGAGATTCCGATGGAACCGTATCAGAAAAGACGAATCATCCATGGCGGACTGCTTTCTATGTTCTATTTCGCCACGTCAATGGCTTTGCACCGGTGGCCAACTATGTTGATGAGCATACCTGGCAATCCCCTATCCGAGGGACAATCATGCAACCATTTATCCCTTGAATCGGACTCACACATGATTCTTCATGTATGGAACATTCTAAGTTCCATTGACGTGGACAAAGTCGTCGGGCTCGGAGGCCACCTCTGCGTGATTGAAGCAATCAACATTCTCGGCATTGCGCGGCATGGGCAGAACCACCCTTTTTTATCTGCAGCCCGCATCAAAGACATGAGGATGTGCCTACAGACCCTCAAAATCGTCGAAAACGTCTGTCAAGGCATACAGGACGCGCGAAGCACACTGGAGGCCATACTAGGACAGGCTGAACAACGGTATTCCCGTCTCATCACGTTTACCTTTACCTCGTCACCACCCGTCTCCGAGCGGACTTCTTGCACGAGTCCGCCACAAGAAGAAGAAGGAGAAGACAAGATCGATCTGAGCGACGTCGGACCTCAGGCCACAGACTTTTGCACGAGTGGAGAGTCGGTGTGGCTCGGAGAAAGTCCAGTACGGTTCTAGCACCGGCACACACTTGCATGCTAATATGTAACTCGTAAGGCTGTAAAACACGCAACGCTACCGATCAAGGGAAGGGGAAGGGGAAGGGGAATATATATATATATATATATCCTTAGCCACCTATCTCGG